ATGGGTCCTTTAAGAAAAACAACTGGAATTTGAGCATCAAACTCTAACTGGGGAATGCTGGAAAATTCCACTCCCCTTCCGTCCGAAAAGAGAGAGTGTTGGGTGAGCTGTCAAGGCTGCTCGAAGCTCCAACATTCTATTCTGTTGAGGCCAATTTGTCTTGGCAAATGGGTTGGAATAAGGATCTTATGCAAAGGAACATCGTCATCGTTACCTGCCATCATACCTGTTGCAAGCAGGTATTCAATTCCCCCATTCCCCTCTCTCGGTCAGTAATGCCATTACTAGAGGTCATCATTTCTCAGCCTCGACCACATTGGAAAAGGGATGACATTCTGGAGCCGAGTTGGCTGAAGCACCAGATGCAGTGCGCAAGTCAGTTGATTTCTGCCTTCAAAGCAGAAACCCTGGAGGAAATCATAGTAACAATAAAAACGAGCATTGGCAGAGTCTCTACAATGGGTTGCACATTATACTTGAGTTTCACATCCCTTATCTCATTTCATCCTCAGAACAATCCTACAATGTAGGTGTTTTTATTACCATTTTATCAATGATGAAAGTGAGATTTACAGATAAAGTAACTTGCCCAGAGTATTTCTCTGTTTCTTCTGACTATGAGGAAGCCCGAGGTTAAATCTGGCCAAATACAAGCGCACAGGGGTTTGTACTTGTGCTTTTGTCATTCCCAACTCCGTTTTCTCTCCACCTCCTACTTTCCTGTTTTCTTTCTCCCCTGCTTTTAACTTATTTCTGCATTTTCTGCTTTTTTTCTATAGAATAAAGCAATCTTAAATACTTTTTGGTAGGGAGAGATGTAAATAAATGAAAGAGCAGCAGCCAGGCAGCGGCACAACCAAGGTGAGAACTCAGGTCCCTAGTGCCTGAGTTGGCTGCCATCTCATGTGTTCTCTGCTCCAGAAGGGGCTGTTTACCTGGAACCGTGCATTTGCATAGGTGAAAAGCCAACAGGAGGCCAAAAGGAGACTCTCTATCTGAAACCACCACAGGCAGCTTGGTTTCTGGCTGAGGACAGGCTGGGGCGGGCAGAGCCGGAACTCAGATCTGGAGCCATCCTATGGAAGAACCTAGCTCTTTTGGTGAGAGGTTCAGAGAGGGAGACCCAAGAATGAGATCCTGAGGCAGCCCTCAACATGGCTCAAGGAGTGGAAATGTTCTAACATCTCTTTAGGAACACGGCTATGGCTTTCAGAAGCCATGAGCCAAAGGGTAGCACTGGGTCTGCCTGAAAAATCCACGGGAACCTGAAAAGAACCATCCACAGTGACACGAGAGCTTCACAAAGGGGTGGGGGACAAGATAAAAGGACAAAAATCTATAGCATTCTCGCATGTTAGCAAGAAACAGCTGTGAAAGTGTAAAGGGGCAAAGGAATCCATTTATAATACATAAAAATTTGGGATGAGCTTAAGAAGGTCAAATGAAGATACAAATTGTGATTGGGAGAACATAAAAAGGAAATGAAAATTAAGGGGCCCATATTGTGGCAGGCCTTGTGTTTCACACCCCTTCCCTCCTTTCATTAGAATGAGACCCTCTGAGGTAGGCCTTATGATTCCGTGTGGTTCAGTGGGGAGTAAGGCTCCAAGTGGTTCAATAACCCAGACAAGCTGGCAGGTGGCAGGACAGGATTCATACCCAGGGATGGTCCAATTGGGAAGCCCAGATCTTTCCACCCAAATACCCCACTCAGAAGAAATAACTCACGTTCAGTCTATACTCACCCACCCAATAACGGCTATAGATCTGAAATGGGCCTTAACTCAAATATCAAATTTTCACCTTGTAGTACTTGGAAATGAATCTAAAGTTCATAGGAAATATAAATGTGTAAGAACACACACTAAAAAGAAAAAGCTGGAAAAATAAGCAATAATAGAAGAAGCAGACCTAACTGGGAGTTAAAGCAAATCACAAAGCAGTAATAATAGAAATTTACCATACTCAAAGAGTAATGAGCACGAATTTTCATAACAGAAAAAAGTACATAAGATTATTTGGTATATACTCAAGTAAGCTTCAAAACTAATTGAGATAATTAACTCATTCAATCAGTCATTTTATATAACTGGATCACAATTTGGAAATAAATTAATTTATATTACACTTTATATGATATGAGAAAATAAGCCCCTGTTGGATTAGAAAGTAAACTATTAAAATAAGCCAGAGAAATAACAGAAGTAAAACAGAATATTTAACCACAATTTTGGAGGAATGTGTATTTGCTAAATAGCAAATACTAGCATAACTTTCAAAGGAATAAAAAATTCAACTCTATA